GGGAGGCTTTCCTGCCAGCCTGGATGGCTGAGGCTGACCACATGGCTGGCCAGTACGCGTAGCCCCGCACCGCTGCCATCCGGGAAGCCCAGTGGGGGGCCGTCCGGATCTGGGAAGCCCTGAGGGAGAGCTTCCAGGTGGAGGAGGAGGACTGAACTCTCCCTGCATGCTGCACTGGGGCCTTCTTCCACCCTCCCCATTGCAGAAGTCCTTGAATTATTTTTTTCCTAACCTGGCTAAGTAAAAGAATCAAGAAAGCCATATCCAGAAAATGGCTTGCTGTTACATATCGAGGCAAGAAAGACTTTAGATTTATGGGAATTTGACTCCCTGGCTAAATTTCCATTGTGTTAGTTTCACATTAGTATGATTTCATTTGTCTTTAATGTATACACGAATTAAAATTAATATAAATTAGCTTTATGAATTTTGTTTGTACTAGTTCTTAGAACAATGTATGGGTAGTTTAACTATTGTTTTCAAATAAGTATTATATTTATTATTCATATCAAAGTAACACACAGAAAACCTGTCCCAAGAGTATGAAGTCTAAAAAATATATTACAGATTATCTATTAACCATAATCACCCTACTTTCTATATATTAGTTCTTTATTCAATCTTCATCTACAAACTTTAACTATTTTAAGTAACTCTTAACATTTCTTTACAAAGCCTTTAATATCCTGGCAGGACTATCCCCTATTTCTTTCACATCTCATATTCTCTCATTCAATCTTACCCTTTATCATTCCCACACTTCCTTGCCTGAAAACTCCTTCTCCCTCTGCAAAAGTTCCCATTCTGTCAAAGAGATGAGAAAAAAATAAAAACAGCTCTGATACTAAAGGAGATCATCGATATAGTGGAAACATGCTAGCTACTCTGACAGCTTAAAGCGCCACACTTGGGTGCCAGATGGTTGGTTCCACTCCTGGAAAGGGGGACTTCTGCCTCACGTAGTATTTGAGGAAGTAGGAGCAGCACTGGTCCCTGGTGTTCCCAGACTGCCTTATTACCCCTGCACAGCAGATAAGAAGAAAGCCCTAAATGGGTAGTATCCTATGCCCCCCCAGCCTCTGGCTCAGTCTTTACATATCTGGGACAGTTTCAATGCCCCAACCACACTGATTTAGAGCTCAACTCAACAAGACTTTGGGGCCCTTATAAAATAAATCACTTAAACATATGTTTATAGCACTTCTCACATGCTCAGAGTTATGCAAATTATGTGACAGTGCATCATATTAGCGGATATCATACTAATAATTTTGCAGTACTAGCATCGCCCCAATGCCTGGCACATGTTCTTCCCTCACTATGCCAGCCAATACTAGCAAACAGCTTACACCAGGACTGGGCAAAATATGGCCCAGGGGCCAGATCCAGCCCACCAAACCATCGAATCTGGCCCATGGACCACCCTGACAGGACCCTCAGGCACGCAGCTGCCATGGCTTAAAGCACAGTCCATGGGGCTCTCTGCTCTGCAGGGAGTGGGAGGGGGAAGCTTCGTGTGATCTCCCGGCCCCCAGCCCAATCTTCAGAACCTACAGGCCATTTTAGCCAGGCCACTGCGGGGGGAGGAAAGAGGGGCGGTGAGCCGATCAGCTGTTTTGTCGGCTCAGCGCGGAAGTCTGGACGCTCCACGGTCGACATCAAAGGCATTTGTCGACCTTCCAGGTAAACCTCATCCCAAAGAGCTAATCGGCTCAGCGCGGCAGCCATTTAAATTTAAATGAGGAGGCGATTATTTAAATCGCCGCTTCACTTTCCTATGCCGGTTAGCCTAATCTACATGCCTCTGTCGCCAGAAGCATGTAGTCTAGACGTACCCTACGAGATCTGGTGGGATGCAGTGCTAGCAGGGACCTACTTTCTTAGGGTATGTCTACACTACAGTGTTATTTCAAAATAACATGTCTAGACACAAAATGCATTTCAAAATAGCGTTTTGCTATTTCGAAATAGCACATCCACATTGATAGGACGCTGATAGTTTATTTATAATAAGGTCATGCAAGACTGTATCAAATGTTTTATTAAAGTCTACCACATCTACCACTTCCCCCTTATCCACAAAGTTTGTTATCCTATCAAAGAAAGCTGCCAGGTTGGTTTGATAAGATTTGTCTTTACAAATCCATGCTGTTACATATCTCCTTATTACCTTCTAGATGTATGCAAATGGATTCTTAAATTATCTGCTCCATTATTTTTCCTGGCACAGAAGTTAAGCTGATTGGTCTGCAAACATAATATATACTATGTTTACATTTACCTTTGTATTTCATAATCATCTCACACTAATATTTTATGTAATTATTGATAGTCTAGAACAATTTTACTTAAAATAAGTAAACTAAAGATTCATTTGAAAAGGACATGAAATGATTTTCTTCACACTTTGATTGACTGCAAAATATTTTTCTATGGTTATTTATTAGCTGGTATATATCTATTTCAATTTTAGATTCCCTGGACACAATCGATAATTGATGTACAATTCTTTTAAAGAGTATTTTTGTGCTTCTATGGTAAAGGCCTGTATTTCATTCACATTCAAGAATCTTTAACAAATAGGTAAGAAGACAACATGACAACAGAAAATGTCATAGACTTGCTGAAGGTCCCCAGCAGGAAAGAGTATCAACTCTACATAGACAATGTAAGTAAGGGGAAAATAGATCTAATGCCTTATTAGAGTTGGTGATCCAGGTACATTGAGTATCTTAGTTTTTTTGCACTAGAGGATGCTTTCTGGCTTCATTGCACACAGCAGGAAGAAAAATAGTGTATTTCTCATCATTTGCAGTTTTATGTTGTTTTGCAACCTAAGAACCACATGGGGTGTAAACGGATAGCTCTTTTCTAAGGAGGCATCAGAAGGCTTGCAATCTCATTGCTTAGAGTGAGAACAAAATATGAATAGAAATCTATCTGTTGGGTGCAAACTAGAATAACTTGATACAGTGTGGTGTGTCCCAGTAGTATTAAAAAAATCACATGATAATTATACAGCTTTCATGAAATATAAACTATATCTGATAGCAAGTGAACCAGCATATGGTAACAAAGTATATGCAGTGCCTACAGGGCATATTCAGATATGCTGGAAGAAGGACAAGAGGCACCGAATATGGTTTGATTAGGCTGCAACTTTATTTCTAAATGTCTGGGAGGATCCTGTGGATGAAAGTGTACAGTGCAGATATTTATATATACCTGGTGGGGCTGTCAGCCCTCCCATTTTACCCCATCTTGGTTTCCAGCCAACCTGCTGCTAGGCCTTGCCCCACTCCCCACTCACATGAGGTTTAAAGGGGGGATTGTAAAGGAGGTGGTGATTGACTCGCTGCTGTACCAGTCATAGGAACCTCAACTCCCTAGCTCCAGTTTCTGCTCCTTAAAATCCATTATCAATCCATTTAATGTGATCATGATTACTTTCCTGTGGAATACCTGCATTGGACACCTGCAAGTTGCAACATCACAGCCAATCTCCCTTTTTGTGTCTGCCCCAACAAAGCCCCCAAACCACAATGGCAAAGATGAACAATTCTCACCTCGATTTGGCCAATGTGATGATGAGAGGGAAAAAATCCTTCCCAGTTTCCCCCATGAAAGGGGAGATTACTGTAAAGCACACAGTGGATCATGATGAACCTAGCAGTTCACAACTTTGCTGGATGCAAAGGTGGGAGCTGCTCTGCCTGGTACAGATAAAAGCTCTTCTTTCACCTGTGTAAACAGTCCCAGGTCTCATCTTGTCACCTGGTGGGGGAAATGCGTCAGTGTCCACACTTGGGCCTAGTATAGAGCTGACACTGCTCTGGCTTTCTAGCCCTTAAAGAGGATCACATCTTCCATAAAACCTGATAGTGGTACCAATGACTTAATATGTGGTGAGGTCATTACAGTTCTGCTAAACAGTTGGAAGTGTCCCACAAGTCCTAGGATATTTAATAAGTCAATTTAAAGCCATAATAAATATTCAATTCTAGAGGAAAATGAAAATTTGATAGAACCAAAGTTACATATGAAGAGGAAAAGGCCAAGCTGCATCCCAGCCCACTTTAAAAAACCCACCATTGAATCTGAAATGCCATAGTCAGCATTGAAGTAAAGTCTATGGCAGATGACTTACAAATGTTAATTGTAGGGCAAAAAAAGTATACCACACAAAGTATAATTCAACTCTGTTGGTACATTGTCATTCTGGCAATGAGTATACCAAAGTATGTTTCAGATTTAAATTAAACGGTTGCAAGTAAGCATTAAATAACAACAGAGACAGAGGGAAATATAGAGTGATAGGGAAGCAAGAAAAAGATACTGTATATTTTAAAATGTGTTTTTATATGAGCAATTGAGAACTGAGAAGAAATGTCTAACATCACTTTTGATTTACTCTGTGTTTGAAAACAGGTTTATAATGACTGAAAGGCTACTGTACTAAGCTTACAGATACATACACCCAAACCCAGGAGATGTTTACTTCACCTTTTCTTTCAAACGTTTTGGTTAAAGTACTTGTTATTAAAACACTGAACTGGAAATCAGAAGATCTGATTTTGAATTCTGATTTTGCCACAGACTTTCTTATATGCGCTTGAGCAAATAGTGTAGGCCTTGCTTACACAAATAAGTTGCACTGGTTTAACTTATATTATGTATAAACCAATTTAGTTAAATTAATGCAAATACCTGGGTAGACACTCTAATTTCAGGTTTGTTTGGTTTAGCTTAAATCCATATCCTATTGGCTTAAGCTAAATTAATATAAACCAGGTTTATATTGTTTTAAGAGTATCCACAGAGTCTTGTGTATTGGTTAACTAATTTGATATTAAATCATACCTATGGTTACATTGGGGTGAATATGCATGAAGACAAATCCTCAGTCTCTATATTTCTCATTTCCCCATGTATAAAATGAAGCTAACTATAATTTTTTACCTCTGAATTACTGTCTTTATCAATTTAGATTGTAAAATTGTGGGACAGAAACTCTCTCTTACGGTATGTCTACACAGCAACATTATTTCGGAATACACTACAAGCCTTTATTTCGAAATAATGGCAAGCTGGAGAACTTCTTACTCCAACTCATGGCAACCCTTATTTCATGAGGAGTAAGGGAAGTCAAAGGAAGAGTGTTTTTCCTTCGACTTCCTGCTGTGTAGACAGCACCAAAAGCCAAATTAAGCTATATCGACTTAGTTGACATAGCTGAAGTTGTGTAGCCGAATTCAACTTTAGCCCTGCTGTGTAGACGTACCCTTATTGTGATAGTACAGCATCCAATACCAGAGACCCCTGATCTAAATAATGGGCTCCCGATAATACTATAATACAAATAGTAATAATAATTTAGGAACTATATGGAATATTTCTTCAATGTGTCATATTTTAAAATCAATTCTGTGCTTTAACTCAAAGCTGAAATAACTTATCAAAAATCTATGGATTTCATGTACTCTTTCATACAGTTTTCTTAAAATTAAACCCCATTGCCTCATTCAATGTAATTTGAACAACAGAGCTGTGAAGTTCTCCAGCATACCTAAAACATTTACATTCATACCAAGTGGATATTTTTGGGAAGAGGATCAGCTGTCTGGAGCCCATTATGTCTCCTACCATTTGTATATATTTTTTGCAATGCTGGTTATGTGCCTGTGTGTGAGGGGAAGAAAGAGAACATTGCTTAGAGGCTTTGGTCATCACAGTGTATAACTCTCCCTTATTTCTAGTTGGAGTCTTCTGAATATCAGGTTCCGCTGCAGCTAGGAGCAGTGACCTTTTTAGGTTTTGATTCTGCTCTTCTCTGACAGATACAGGACTGAGACTTTGAAAGGGAACCCCCTCCTGTTCCATGTAAAACTCTTTGAATTGCCCCATCTATGCTTCTGAGGCTCCCCACTCATATGCCAGATACTTTGAAGATGAATACTCCATCATAAGGAAAACATGAAACAAACCTCACTCCCTTATGTCAGGGAGTACTGTAGAGATCTCAAAGCTGTTCTGTATGATGGTTGCTCTTTGGTGGGTGGGAGAACACAGGCAGGGTCAGCAGCCTGTCAAAGCATCAGAAAAAAAATTCACACCAGGACTAAATGTTGGGTGTGTGTTAGCTGAAGAAAATGGATTTGCAATACCTAGAATATTCAAGTACAGCAATACCCAATTCAAGTGAACTTTGGTGTGAAATTGGTTTAACTAGCAGCATTTATAATTTCTTCTCTTATTTATTGCAAAAGTTGTCTCACTCTTTAGGAACGTTGCACCAAATTTGCCCTTTCTGCCAAGGGTCTAGATGAACCTTTCACAGCACGTACCATGGCAGAGATTTTTTTTTTTGGGGGGGGAAGGGGCTCAAATTTGGATGACTACACAGAGTTATGTACCCAAGTCCACTCTCAGCCTTAGTTGCCAAGTGCAACAGCTGTTTGAGATGGGAATGGACTGCTGAGTAACCATTTATATGTTGATCCTCCACATAGGAGGATTCAGTTATAGGGCTGGAGTAGATGACTGCAGAACAGCTCAACTGCCATTCCTTGCCTTGTTATCTGGACTATTTTCCTCTGTCCCCATGGAAATCCTCAACAGCCAGCCCAGCATGCTACAGCCAGGATTTTCTTTAATATTTTTAGTGCATCATTTATATTCTGAAGCAGGGAAGAGCCATTGAGTCTGAGGAGTTTGGAACTATGAAAGGGACATGAAGTCTATCTAATCTTTCCATCTCTGTGTATTTGCATGGTGCTCGTCATCAGAGTATCTGACTACGTTGTTAAAATCTGATAGTTAATTTCTTGTGGCCCAGGTGAGTGGTGAGCCACTGCCAAGTCATCATTGCCATCTGGTGATTGTTACAGGGCATGTGTGGAATGAATGGGTAGTTACATAATGAAAAAGTGATTGTCATGAACATGTTGTTTAAATTAATTCTGCTTTATCCAGAGGCAATGGCTAGTGATGGAACTGAGTGCAGGAACAGAAGGAGAGGAGAAACAGAGAGAGACACAAAATAAAAATATATCTTGCTTTGTGGAAAGTGATGTTAGCTTTCTTCAGCTAATCTGGCAATTTTTATGTGTAACTTTCCCTTTGTTCACACAACTTCTAAGTTTAAGGTAATTTCATCAGTCAAAACCAAACTTGCGTAGAATAGAGACAGCAAGCAAGCCAGGGATTGTATTTTACTTCTAAATCAGAAACAAAACAATTGGAATTAGGGCATGTATTTCTGCTTTCTCTAGCTTGATTAAATGAGCTTCAATAATACAAAAACATTGACATTTTAAAGTAAATGTTAATTTTTGACATGATGGATATGCGTCAAGTGACTATTAAAATAAACAAAATGAGTGACTCCATTCCCACCTGTCCCAGAAAAGTATCACTTTTCCGTTAAATCATAGAAAGAATACAATCATGCCTATCTTACTCTAAGTATCTACCTGTCCGTCAGTCTACTGAGGAATATAGATAGTTGGAATTTTGGTATTTTGTTTTCTCTGGGATGTTTTGACTTTCTTCACTGAGTCCTTTTCAGTTTTATTTGTGCCAGGATCTGGTGGTTTTAAAATTTACTAATTCTGGTGGAGATGTCTGAGTGTGAAGAAGAGGCAGTATTTTGATTTGTTGTGCAAGTCA